CATAACAACAAAGTAAAGCGCTAGCATTTCTATTTATCCATGCGTAATAGGTGCTACGAGATTGGGTGGGATGTGGCACCTTTAGTGTAGTCGTCTCCGTACTCCTCACGGTACTCACGATCCTCGTCCGTCCGGTTCTCCTCCGAGTCTGCAAACGATTACATTATAGTCGCGTTAACGACGTCTATAGAATAGCACAAAGAAGCAATGAAAATTCAAAAGAGCCAAATGCACTCAAACATGGGTTCATTACGTAGAACTCGATTTTAGATGAATTTTGGTCCTGGTTTCATATCTTTCTGAGGTCGTATGAATTAGTTATGATTTTCCAAAGTTTAAATCATTTCTGAAAATAGAAAAGGCTGATTTAATCCTAGGCTGACACGTGTCATGCTGTGGTTGGTCCATGTGGCTTGCTGATGTCAGCATGACATCAGCATCACGGTTCCGAGCTGACAGGTGGGGTCCGGTGGCGTCGACGCCAGCGTCATCACGTCATCAACGCCATCCACACCGGCGTGTGGGCCAAAACTATTGGGTCAGCGGCAGGTGGGTCCGGTCAAAGTCAACGTCGGTCAACGGTGAGTCAACGGTCAGCGATCCGTGGTCAGCGACATGTGGGGCCTGGGCTGCGGCTGATGTCGGTGTTGGACGCGTCGCATGAGCGTCACCCACCCTTGTCTCAGGCGTGCTCCGACATCCGGGTCTCGTGTGACGTCATCATGACGTCGATCATCGACGTGTGGGTCCAGAGTGTACACGTGGCTACTAACGGTGGGTCGGTCAATGTTGACCGGTCAGCGGTCAATGGCGCGGTCTGGGCCGGGTTCAAACTAGGCTGGACAGGCATTTCGGGTTGGGCGATGCGGGCGGACTAACCGATGACCGGACACGTGGCACGTGCGTGCCGTCAGGGCGTCCACGGCTCCATGGGCTCTTATTGGGTCTGTGGTCTATGGCTTGCGGTCTCACGGTGGACCAAGAGATCTTTGGTCCATGGACCGCAGACTGGCTCTGATGGGCCATGGCCGATCGAGTCCACCCTTCGTCTCCAGCGTGGTCCATGTACTCGGGTGCTGCGCGTTAGTGATGGTGGCGGTGAGGGGTGTTCCTGTTCCCTTCCTTGGCCGAAGGCATTGTGAGCCCATGTGGCGGCTTTTATGGTGTCCGATTGGGGGGGGAATAGTTCCCTCACACCGTAGCATGGCTGCGATGGTGAGGTCAAAGTGGCGGCCAAGGCTTCCCCAAAGGCGCCACGGCACGACAACGGCTCAAGCTCCACCGGCGTGCGGGAATGGCGCGCGTCTGCTGCGGCATAGGCCGATTTTTTGGTGTGAGTGCGTGGCTAACCTACACAACGCCCAACGGGCATGTTGGGTAGGTCGAGGGTCCTCGGGGGCTCCGGTGGCTTTGGCCATGGCGGCGGCTTCTCGAGCACTGACGGCGGCGTCGATGAGGCAGCCACGACCTGGAGAAGTGTCACGGTGGGGCGTGTAAGTTTTCTGGGTTCGTGGGGCCACTGGCGAGGCGTTCGAGCTCAAAGGGGCGGGCTCGGATTCTCATGTGGCGGTAGGGCTTCGGCCCACGGCGGTCATGAAGACGACGGCGACAGGCGACGGGTGAACCAGGGCTCAGCGGGAGGTAGTCACAGCGGGGTCACAGACGCGTGTGCGTGGTTGGCACATTGGTGCGTGTGTCCCAGCGGCCGGAGATGGCCCCTAGCCTACGTGCTCCTGTGTGGGCGCCATGGCCGTGTGTGTGAGTCCGGCGACGGTGGGAAGAAGCGGGTGCTCACCGATGGTGTTGTGGGAAGGGATGGTGATGCGGTGGTGAGTCGCGGCGGTGTAGCTCCGAAGCCGTGCGGTGCGGCGTTGCTGCGTCGATGATGAAAACGATGGCGGCGTCTTGCTCGCTCCGACGACCTCCTCCCATGGGCGTGCTTTGGCAAGCGACTTTTCTCTCCCTCCCTTTCTTCCCTTCCCCTTCTCTCTTGGTTCGGATCTGTGTGGGCGGCCACCAGATGGCGACAGGCGACGGACGAGACGGCGCTAGGGCTCGGTGGGGCTTTTATAGCCGAGCTCGGCCATGGAGCTCGGTGATCGGCGGATGGAGGCCGAGAGGTGATTGGAGGCTGACGCTTGCATCCAACGGCGTTGGTTTGCATGGTTGCGTAAGGCTTTGAGCCAAGGAGATAGGGGCATGCCGGCGTGACCCGCCCGCCCGCCAAAGTCTCCTTGTCGTGGGGCTTGGGTAACCGGAGAGGGAATCGGCGTGAGCGGTCGGGGCGTGGCATGAGAAGATGAACATGAGGGCGACACATGCGGGGCTGTGTGGCTTAAAATGTGGCGGAAGCGAGAGCTAGATAGCGGCACCTTTGGCGTGGGCGGAGCGGCGTCTTGGGTTGGTTTTAATTGTTGAATTGCTGTAGCGATTGAGTTAAATGGGCTATTCACCGACCTCTGTCGCCGCTGACCCTTTCAGCTGAGGAAGACAGGGAAAGGTTGAGCTTGGGTTGGTTGGTTTGTCGGCGATGAAGCTGAAAGGGCGAAAAATGCAGGCCTTCTTCTTCCCTTTTTCTTTTTCTGTTTTATTTTCCTTCTTCTTTATTTGAATTCAATTTTGATTTTTAAATTTGGATTCCAAATTGGTGCACCAAATTCATTGGAGTTTTGATATAAGGCCCTCAACATACTTATATAAATACTAGAAATTTATTTAGCTGTTTTGTATAACAAAACTAGGTGTGGTTTTCGTTATACAAATGTAGAATTAGTTTTTTTCTTTAAAACTTTATTCCTTGGTTTGAATTTTAATTATTTCATGGTTTATTATTTTATTGGAGTTGTTAAGTATATCATAACTCAAATGAAAATCCAAATCACAATTTGAATTAACAATGTATGCAATACTTTATTTGTTACAATTTAAATAAACACAATTAACTAATGCCATGCCATGCTTATGTGTTAACTTGGGTTGGGGTTAGGCCTAATGCATTTCTTAGGTTGGTTTTCTATACATGACACTCATCATCACATGGAAGTTCTAAGAAAATATTTGTAGTTGGTATTTTTGGTGTGTGGATTTTTGGGTTGTTACACTCCTCATCATCCTCGTTGTCGTCCACCCACCGAAAACTCTCCGTGCGTCCTCCCGAGGAGCAACCTGGGTAGAATGGAGCCGTGACCAGTGAGAGAGTCGAGGGGCTTGGGGTGGCCGACGACTGTGGTCGATGGGACGAAGGTGGGCTCACTCCCCCAATCCCCGGTAAGGACGACAAGCCGCCATCCGGCGCTGGCCTTGGCAGGGAGCCAGATTTGGCCCCCACACACGGCAACGGGCTGGCCGCGGCTGACCCTGACGGCATGCGCGGTTGAGGAGAGGGAGGCGCAGCAGCTGTGGCTTGCCCCGGCGGTGAAGGGGGTGCCTCGGCGGCGGTGATCGTGCCTCGAGCTCAAGCTCTACTGCGCCGGGCGAGGTGAGGAGGGTGGGGGGTTTATAGTTTTGTATGGTAAATGCTACTCCTTCCATCATCTTAAGTATAAGAGCAACTCCAATAGATTGTGTAAAATAAGAGTCTAAAATCCATGATTTAGCCATTCTCTAAAATAGAACATCCTCTAAAAGAGTAGAGTAATGCAACCGTCTTTCTAAAATTCTCATTATCTATTTTTTAAAGTTGACATGTCAAGCTAAGATTGGTTCGTTTTTCCATTTCCTATACTCCAGCCACTTGCTTGCACACCACCGTGCTGATGGCGAACCTTCATAGAATGCTATTTTTACCCAACGAGAAGTGCGGGATGGATGACTTGTTATTTTGGAAAATATAATAGAATAGCTGTTGGAGCCATGATTCTTTCAAAAATGCTTAGAATAGCATTTCACGATACAAATGGCTACTCTCTTGGAGTTGCTCTAAGATATTGAAATTTTCAAAATTTGTCTCAAATTATAAGGTACATGTATTACATGTGCACGCGCTACTAGTGTCAACCACCAGTTTTAAAAATATGGTAAGAACTCTTGGGCCATTTTTTCTTCTAACCACCACTATAAAATTTCTCCATAAATTATGGTATTCAATTTTTTTGACCGAGTATAGTACTAGCTTATTTTGACTGCCGACTTGTGTGCCCCCATAAGGGGAAAAAAAAAGGTCAAAAGTAGCGGTACGGAATGGTAGCGGTAGCGCCGGAAATTTCCAGACGACCGATGGCGTTGATGAAGTCTGTCGTGGAAAAGGAGTCGGACACCGCTCATGTGGAGTACGCCAGGAAGAGCTACCGAGCTCCGCGAGGCGCGAGCGGCTGTAGCAGACGGGGACGGCCGTGGCCCGTTTTTCTTTGAAGAAGGTAATAACAGGAGAGGTTGCCCGTTCGTGGGAGGAGCTAGAACGAAGGAGACGTGCAGTGCAGCTGATGATGAGCTGCTGAGCCTGTGCTGAGGCAGTTGTTCCAGAAGACGCAGGCCCGCACCATGAGAGATCTCCTCGCGCCTTAACGATCCTGACTTCCTCTTGCTCACCTCCCTCCGGTGCTCTCTTGGCAAAGACTTGGGCATGCACTCGAACTCCGGGCGAAAACCGGCGAGACATCCTCTGAATCTCTGATCCGCAACGACAGCATCCACGGCGACCGCTTCATGGTGAGTAGTCGTTAACCGAACCAACCCCTGCTTCCACCCACCCAGCATCTCAATTAGAAGAGAAAACTTGTATACGGCGACACGCCAACACGACGCTTGCTCGGCAGGGACGGAGCTGCGATCATGCCGGCGGCGTTGCCCTGCTCTCCACTCCGCCGCGCTCTCCTTTCCGCCCTAGTAATAACCGTGCTGCTGCAACAAGCTCTATTCGTGCCGGCGGCGCCCGTGGCGCGGACCAACCTCACCGCGGGAGCCGCCCTGACGCCGCCGGGGCACATCACCAACCCGTCCGGCGACTTCGCCTTTGGCTTCCGCGCACTCGACGCCGACCCGACCAAGTTCATCCTCGCGACATGGTTCCGCTTCGGGGATGCCGCCGGCGCTGGCAGCAGCTCCAGCTCCTCCCAGTCCCAGCCGCAGTCCGTGGTGTGGTTGAGTCGCCCTCCGGTGGCACGCCCTTCGCCACGGCGGGGTCCGTCCTCAGCGTCACGCCCGACGGCACGCTCGTGCTCACCGACGGCGGCGGCCGCAACCAAGAGCTGTGGAGGGCCTCGACGTCCAGGCTTAGGCGCGGGTCCGTCCTGGCGCTCCGAGACTCGGGCAATCTCCAGTTCCTCGGCGACGGCGGGGACGTGCTGTGGGAGAGCTTCGGGTACCCGACGGACGCGCTCCTGCCGGGCCAGTCCTTGGCCCTGGACACCAAGTCCGAGGGGAAGCTCTTCTCCAAGCAGGCGGACGCGGAGTTCACCACTGGCCGGTTCAGCATGGGTGTCCAGCCGGACGGCAACGTGGTCCTCTACGTCGACCTCATCACCGGCAACAACCCCGGCAACGCCTACTGGCAGGAGTACACCACCAACAGCCCCGATGGCAACACAACGGTCACCTTCGACGCCCAGGGCCGGCTCAACTACAGCCTCACCAACGGCACCGTCTACAGCTTGATTTCGCCCCCGCCGAGCTTCACCGCCGGCGCCGACTACTTCCAGTTCGTCAGGATGGACCCCGACGGCATCGTCCGCACCTATGTCCGCCACAAGACCGGCAGCGGCGGCGGCGGCGGCAACACGTCCTGGACCAGGCTAGTCAGTGGCCACCGGACGGCTGCAACAAGAGAACGTCCGCAGGGCATGTGTGGCCCGGGGTCTTACTCCGTCCAGATCGATGACCGGCTCAACTGCGTCTGCCCGAGTGGGTACAACTACACCGACGCGCAGCACCCGGACAGCGGCTGCACGCCGGCGTTCGAACCGCAGAGCTGCGGCGGAGAGAACAGCTCCGACGCGTTCACGCTCGTGGAGCTCCCGAACATCACCTGGGAGACCTCGATATACTACAAGAAATCCTCATCGGTGAACGAGGAGCTGTGCCGGGAGTACTGCCTCGTCCAGTGAAGTCGCGGCCACGATGCCGACGTGGAGCTAGCAGTAGCTTCACGCGCTCGCTAGGTCTCAAAGAAGATAGGAGTGCAGGCGCGGTCGCAAGGCAGCAATGAAGGCGGTTGAGCTTCTCATCGCTCACAGCGTATCCTCACGATCGGACTACGGTTAAGATATGGTAGGACGTTGTCGGCTACGATGAACCTCGTACATTGTGTCCTGGCCTCACCTTTCTTTTCATAGCGTTGCGCGATGGGGCCCATCAGCCAGAAGAACGGCTAAGTGCCCCGTCAGAGCACGGATCAAGGGTTCAATTGACCGTTGAGCCAACTTGTGGAGATCAATTTAACATTATCCCCATTTTTCTTACCTTATGACTTAAACTTAACTTACTTTATCTTTTTTTCATTCCATCACAGATCAGTGCATAGAGCGTGTCTCGTTGTTACGCTCAGTTGCCATTAGATTAAACAGCTACAATGCACATCTCTGTTTTGAAACAGAGGTTATGTTCGTTTCTCTTATAATCCATTTTTCAACTTGTTTTTTCAGCTGGAACAATATTTTTCTCTCACAATAAATCAGCCGAAACAGTGTTTCGGCTTATTTTTTCAGCGAAGCGAACGGGGCCAAATTCTCAACTAGGGCCTTAGTATCCAGAAAATCATAGGCTTTCTTGTAAACCCATGTCGACTGTGTGTTCTCTGAATGCACTGGGTGGTTAGCCTTTGGTAAGCGGATTCGCAAGCAGTTGCTTGGTACTCATATGCTCAATGTTTTTAAAATGATTCTGAATTTTCTCCTTTACAACATATAATTTAATATCAATGTGTTTGGCAGCACACTTGACCTGTTGTCTTATGAGTTAACTACTTTATATGGTTATTGTTGTTGACTACCATTGTTAAATCCGGGTACATATTTTCTTAACCACTTTTGCCTATTCCTAAGGTCTCATAATAAGCTATACTATAATATACATCATTGATGACACCACAAATATTTCATTAGAGTTTTTCCACAATAATACTCTAACTACGAGCGGTAGCAGCACCTCTCGCCAAAAACTTAACACAGGAGGTCGCGGTGCTCACCAACGGACGGTGGGCAAATGATGTCACGATGAACAGCCTGTTCGCTTGTTGGTTTCAGCCAGCCCAAACCAGCCAGCACTAGTCAGCTCAAACCAGCATCAGCACCGACCAGCGAACAGACCCGAAGAAGTTCATCAAGGTGCGCACCGGGAGTGCCCAATCGACAAGGACAAGGACTGTACTACGCCCCTACAAAATCATCACCATCTGCTTGGCCTTGATCTTAGTGATCACCATCGGTGGCCTCCTGACACAGCATTACCTCGGCAGGAACAGAGACAGCAAGCAGCTGCTGAGCACAAGTGTGAGACCGTTCAGCTGGAAGGAGCTTTACCAAGCCACCAATGGCTTCGAGAAGCTGCTGGGTAAAGGGAGCTTTGGCGAGGTGTACAGAGGAACGATGAGGTCGCCGCAGCCGCATGCCATCGCGGTGAAGAAACTCGTCGCCTCGAACGAGTATGGCGAGCAGGAGTTCACCAACGAGGTGCAGTCCATCGGGCAGATCCACCACTGGAACCTGGTCCGCATGATCGGCTACTGCAAAGAAGGCAAGCACCGGATGCTGGTGTTCGAGTTCATGCCGGGCGGGTCGCTCCGCAGCTTCCTCTTCAACCCCGAGAGGTGGCGGCCTCCGTGGCGCTGGCGCGCGGAGGCCGCGGTCGCCATCGCCCGGGGGCTCGAGTACCTTCATGACGGCTGCAGCGCCCCCATCATCCACTGTGACATCAAGCCCGAGAACATCCTAATAGACGGCCATGGCGTCCCGAGGATCACCGATTTCAGGATCTCCAAGCTGCTGGGAACCCAGCAGGTGCACACCACGGTGACCCATGTCAGAGGCACCAGGGGATACATCGCGCCCGAGTGGCTTCTGGGTGACGGGCACGTGGACACCAAGGCGGACGTCTACAGCTTCGGCGTCGTGCTGCTAGAGATGATCTGCTGCCAGAGGTGCCAGGAGCCGGTGGTGGTTGATCAACTGCGTGGCGTGGAGGACGACGAAACGGTCACCTTGTTCGGTTGGGCGGCGCAGTTGGTGGGGGTGCGGAGGACGGACGGCCTGTTTGGTTGGCTGGTTCGTTTCGTTGCTGGTTCGTGAAGAAGTACTGCTGGCTGGTTTGTGTGAGAGAAAAATACTGTTTCGGCTGGAAATTTACGATCGTTTACGACATGCCACAGCCAAACGAACAAGCTGGGAGCTGATGCTGCACGGCGACGACGCTGACGTCGACAGCGGGGAGGACATGGAGAGGGTGGACCGGTTCGCGCACGTGGCGCTCTGGTGCATCGAGCCGAACCCGCTGCTGCGACCCACCATCCACCAGGTGGTGCAGATGCTGGAGACCAGTGATCGGGCTCAGGTTTAGGCACTACGTATACCTGACCCTCCAGACTGTTACATGGAATCCTCGCCTTTAACTTCTCAGCTCAAAGACTGAATAATATTCCCTCCGTCATAAAATAAATTAAATTGAATTGTTCTGAATCAAATTATTTTAAGTATGACATCAAGCAAGTGCATTATAAAAATATATTTCAAGATATATCTAATAATGCAAATTTAGTGCCATAAACATCTGTGCAGCTTTCAATAAACTCGATCCAAACTAAAAATGTTTGACTCCAAATATCTTTATAAATTGATTTATTTTAAGATGGAGAGATTACACCGATCATAGTTCTTTGGTTATTTTGATTAGTCAGACTAGTTCAAAAAAACAATGCTCCTCCACAAGGTAAAACCTTAGGAGACATAAGGATTACTAAATGAGATAACACGACTCACTGCAAATTGGTTGTCGACCTTTGACTTCAGGACCAAACATTGGAAGCTATCTAGCACATCAACAGCACCATAAGGCTTCGTTTGGGAGAGCTCCGCTCCTGATTCTTCAGCTTTGCTCCTTGTGTTGGAAATATTTACTCCGGCAATATGGATCAACGTATTCACGCACAGGGAATCAAATGGACAACACACAAGACACAGAGATTACACTGGTTCAAGTACGTGGTACCTTGCGTCCAGTTTGAAATAGATCTCTCTCTGTTACATACTCGGTTACAGAGGTTGTTGATGATTGATTAACGCAGGATTAGTGACATGAACTATATAGGCCTTATATGTTGGTTCAACCCACCCTCGCCAGTGGCGAATCTAGGATTTTAGTTTACGGTATGTGTCGGTGTTTTATAAACTGGACTAGTAAACTTATATGATTGCCACACTGCTCTAGGAAGACAATAGTAGCATCCAATTGACACGAGGATTTATACTGGTTCAGGCCGGAGCCCTACGTCCAGTCTCAGAGATGATCAAGTGTGTGTTCCTCGCTTGAATGCTCTAAAGTTCTTACAATGGAGGGTGCAAGAGTGGTGAAAGAGGTGGTGGAACCTATGCTAGGCGAAGGGCCTCCCGAAGAGAAGCTCCAGGAGCCCTACTACAATGGTGAATGAATGGAATGGTAGAGGATGTGAATCTCGTCCCTAAGATGGATGCCCTGACTGCCCTTATATAGAGTTCAGGACCAGGGATTATACAAAGAGGAGGTTCTCCCTACCGAAGCGTCGAGAGCCTAAGGGAGGTCCTAGCTAACTTGGCTTGTAAGATACGCCGTCTTCAGGTGCATGTTCGGTCGTGGCTATCATCATGGTCTGCTAGCCTTGATGCGGTAGGATGTGATGTGGCGCTACTGTGCCGGCCGTGGTGGCACTGTAGCCTCGATGGCGGTTCGTCCGTTGTGCTATGCAACGCGGTATCCGTCGTGGCCTTCGTCATCGTCTCCTGGTTCCCAGGGTCATCGTACCTGAAGTAGGTAACCACCCCGGGTCGTCGTTTGCCTGGTGGCTTTACGGGATTGAGAGCCACGACCCCGATCGTCAGGGTCGGGGCACTCTGCCGGTCTTGTTGGTCTTTTCGTTGGGTGCCTTGTCGCGGATCCCATCCCATAGTGGGTGGGATTGTACAAGCGTCTACTCGGTCCTTATTTGGACGGTGGGTATTGTACCCATTACCACCGCCGTGCGGTGTTGTCTCGTTAGTGCGACGACGTAGGGATGGTGTCTGACCAGGCCGAGGTGACTGTTGTCCTCTCGGTCCTTGCAAGGTTAGTATGGCTTGTTTGCTCTTGTCAGAGCAGGCACGCCTAGCTTGCTCGACCTCCTCCCATCCGTCAAGGGTCGTGACGGGGAGAGGTCGTGCGTTTTGCGACCACTGTGTGCTAAGGCGGGTGGAAGGGGTCAGGGATGACCCCGACCTTGGTGCCTGGCCTGCTTCGCTCGGCTTTCGCTGGGCCTCAGTCGTTCGGGCCTTTGTTAGCCATTGTGTTGTGGGCCACGTAGCCTGCTAACTAATCGGTGCCTTGAGATACCCCGGAGTTACAACACCGATAGTAGCCCCCGAGCATTTTTGCGATCATGAAGTGATCGTGAAAGCGCTGGTACGCACATGTGTTAGGACGCGGGCTCGCGGTCATGGCTTTTCTGAGCTTCACCGCTCGACCCCTTTCGGGCTTGGTGTATTCAGGGAAGTAGGTTGACGTTGCACCCTGTCCCGTCCTATCAAAGTGGTATGTGATGGCTGATCCTCGCCGTGTTAACGTGCCGCTCATCGGGGTCCGTGACCCAGGCAGGGCCATGTGGTCTCGTCGATGCTACATCGGTCCTGCCTTTGGGGAGGTCTAGACTTTTCATCCTTACGTGGGCATCAGTTACTATTTGTGACCTTTCGTGGTTCGCCATGCAGCGAGGGGTCTCGAGCTGCTCTATCCCCCCTGGTCCTATAAGTACTGGTCCCCCCACCGTTTGAACATACGTCGCTGCGTCTACAAATCGTCTCCCACCTTCCTGCTGAGAGAGAGGAAATGGGAGAGAAAAGCTCAGGGGGACCGCGTGGCCTTCGGGTGTTCATTTCAGGGTCTCCTA